GGGCAGAGCATCCAGCACGGCAGCCGACCTCACCGGCGCCATTACACAAGAGAGGTTAAGATTTAAGATTAATGTCATTAAAACAATTGTAAATATTTATCATGACTTGGTTTGCGAGGCAGCTCGATCATTAGTTACAGAAAGAAAACAAGACCATGGCATTCCACATGGCTTCATGTGTTTAGTTTTCTTCCCCTTGGACTGACATTGTGTCTTAGTGTGTGTGGGATCTTACCCCAGGTTCAGCCGCTCTGTGTCCTTAGGAAGAGTTTTTGGTATACTGGTGAGGTGTCTGAATGTACAGTGGACCTCTCTGACACCTGGACAGCTGCAGCTCCGGGGGCAGGATGGGACGGTGTGGACAGGAATGATCTAGAGGAAGTTTAAAGGAAGAAATCTATGGAGTGATATCAGGCAAATGTAGAAATTCAGAAGACAAATGGGCCTCTATACATTTTTTTACCATTTGCCACAGCAGTGATGAAAGGAGCAGGGAAAACCACGCTGTAGCCAGGCTGCGGGCGACCTTGGCGCACCACCACAGTGCCATGACTGGATGGCTGTTTGACTGATCACGTCATGAACACACCTGTTGGTGCAGATTTGTGTTAACAAAAAGATCTCTTGCAGTGCCGTGTACCTTACGAACATGATCACATAACACACTCTTTTCTTTATATTGATCCGTGTGCGGAGTAGATGATATTGTAGCGGAAACCATCAGACTACCACACTCTTGCTTAGCGCATGCTGGAATGGACTGCTGATAGAATAAGCTGTCGAACTATTAGGAAAGATGTAATGATAAAAACTTTTTTATTTCGTAGGTGTGTTCAACTGCAGACCATAAATCCTTCAATAATGAAGGATGCAATACAGCAGATTTTTTGGCCAACTACAGTCATGTGAAACAGACAGACTTCACAGGAAACACCCCCCCCCCCCCCCCCCCCCCCCCCCCCCCCCCCCACACACACACACACACACACACACACCAAGTACAGTGCTCCTGCTTGCACAGGAGTTCAGAAGGAAAGTAGCAGCCAGCTGCTCTAATCAAACGCACTTCATTAACTGATCCCCTATAAAAGATGAAGTTTTGGCATTTTGCTGGTTTGGACCATTCAGGTTTGTCTTAATGCAAAGCCCGAATCTGGAGAGGATGTCCCAGCAAAGTCACCTGAAGGTCTGAGAAATGCTCAGAGAAACTACAACAACTTCACCTCAGACTCTGCAGGCCTCTGCTAGCATGTTAAATGTTAAAGTTTATGACAGTGCCGTTTGAAGTTTTTAGTGCCTTCTAAGTTTTTGAATCCTTTCTCACCCTTTCTCGTTTTACATTTAGATTTCATTTGAGATTTAAGGAGCTATGATGAAAGTAAAAATGTAAATGACCATAATGTCTCTCAAATTAAATCGCATCAGTAACCGTTTCCACAAGCCCAAGGTGATGGAAGAGACAGAGGAAAGAACACCGGTAGCATTCAAAGCAAGAGAAGCAGTGAGAAAGGAAATGAGAGTCGTGAGAAAAAGTCGACAGTAGTTCTTGTCGTGCCAAACTATTCAGCCTCAAGGTGGACGAAACATCCTGGAGAGGTTAGTGCACTTGGTTTAATCCTGTCCGTCACCACAGTAGCCTGTAAATCCTCTCATAACCAACATAGTCGTGTAAAAACAATGGCTGCACTTGGTTTTAATATTTTAATAAGTCACCTCAAATAAATAGAACAGGATAGAATGAAATACAATAAACAGTGGAATGGAAAATAACTACTTAACACTGGAAACTTGTCAGCCGTAGCTCGCTGCAGTGCCAGGGCGCTTGGCAGCCATTAGCCTAGTTTAAACATGCTCCTTTGAGAACAATACATGCCAATTACATACAACCAAGCACAATAAAAACACACGCACACTGAATCCCACGTGCACGTGATATTGCTACATAGTTAGCCAAGATACAAATAAAGGAAGAGAACAGATAGAACCAAACATCACGAGCATATTTTAAGTCATTTGAGGCCATTTAAGGGTTTCTAGTTTCCTTGTGTGTCTCTGTGCTCTCGTCCCTCAAAGGCAGGCTGATTCATCTAACAGCTGGTTGTGTGTGCGTGTGTGTTTGACAGGAGGTCCTACAACGTGAAATTAGATTTTTTATTATCATTGCAACACAAATCTACGATCGTGCACTTCTCATTTTTCTTGCTACTACAGAGGTCAGGTCATCATCACCTGGATTTAGTCATGACAGTTTTAATCAAAATAAAGAATCTGTTCACACACAAGCGGGAAAAAGACCTAAATGGACCGTTCTGTGTCAAAAACAATATTTTTCCCCTTTTGTAGTTAAAATAAAACATTCTGCATGATTTTGACGTTCCAGGAATAGTTTAAATTTCATAATAACAAGACTAAACGACCCAGCAAAGTATATCACTCGTAGTGGGAAGAAGCTGTAGAGACCTACGTCTACATGTTGTAGCTGTGATGGGGCAGTCTCGCCTGATCATGGGGGCTACTCCTGTTTATGTCTGCGTAGCTGCTGGTCTCTCGGTTTAGCCCACGTGTCTAAGAATGCACAAGTCGGAGTGAAATGGAGTGTTAAACACCAAACACTCCATTTCAGCCATTGTGAGCTTCTGATCTATGCTTCTTGGCCTTTCATGTTTTTGCTTTTTTCCACACGTCTTCCTCTTTGCGGTGACTTCTGCTTTCCGTCCAAAGCGACTTATTGACCAATTTAACCTACACAAACTTTTTCAAAGACCACACACGAGTACATCTCATGGACCTCTGCATTGGCTAAGTTTTCTAAATCATTCCCTCTGTGTCGCCAAAGACCTGCAAAAAAGCGGATACAACCGTGGGAACGTGAATTGGACTTAAGAGTCTACAGGAAGGATGTCAAACTCGTTTTACATGGTGGGTCACATACGGTCCGCTTTGATCTTAAGCTGCCCGACCCGTGAAACCCCCTGTTCTGTCAGCATAAAGACTTCTAACCACACATTTAATCCTTAAGCTATGTCCCTATAAGAACATGAAGGCCATTTTCAACAGTACTTCTAGAGTTTTTCTACATGATAAAGAAATCCTGCTGTTGGTTTAAATTGTAAGAAATAAATGTGCAAAACTAAAGGAAACAAAAACGATAGAAGACCCATTGTGACAGACAGACACTTCTATATTAGATTATTAACAAAACAGTTACTTAATTACTTTTTTATAACAAATTATTCTATGTCCTCCCTCTCATTTTTCAAATCTGTCCAGTGGGCCAGATTGGAGTCTTTGCTGAGCCAATTCTGGCCCCCAGACCTTATGTTTGACACCCCTGGTCTACAACCTTGCCATGAGGCTTATGAGCCCTGAAATATCCTGCTCAGTCTGAGTATGATAGCAGCAGTTTGGGTTCATACAGGGAAAAATGTGTCCTCCACGAAGAGTTCAGGGGCTAAGGAAAATAATCTCTGGAGCTTTGGGGTCAAGGATGATATCACAGTATTCACAATAAATGTCCACGTAGCTTCAAACATCCATTCTGTGCTTTCAATGACATGTTAAAAGCAGTTTTGTTACAGTTTATTGGGTGTTACACATACCTGAGCAGCAACTTCATGTCATAAAACTTAAAAACTAGGAGCCAGTTTCATCGACAGCTCCTGCATAGATTTTATAGTCCAGTAAAGGTGTCCGTTTGGTCTCAGTCTCCAATGTGAATGGATATGCTGATCACAGAGGAAAAGAAGAAAGGGTAAAGAAGTGTTTTACCCTTTCTTTAACACCTTTAACATTTCTCTGCCAGAAAACGCTGGAAACAAAAAGTAAAAGCTGGAAATTAAAGTGTAAAGTGAGAGAGGGCAAGAGGTCGATGAAAGGAAAAAAATACAAAAGAGAAGAAGATTAAAAAACAGAGGCATGAGAAAACACACGAGGAGATGAGAAAAGGGTTTCCCTGAACTATGCAACCATAAAGCACCTGTTTCAGGCTTCCTCCCGACAGAGATTAAATGCATATACCTCCTGAAAGGGGCAGAGCACAAAACTCTGTTTCTTATCAATTTCACGTGTTTCCTGGAAAAAGGTTTTTTTCTTTATATCACTGCCAAAATACATCAATCTTTCCTTTATGTCTTTGTATATGGTCATGCTGTCTTATAGCCATTCAGTTCTTTTCATCTCCACTGCACTTTTAAACACCTTGAGTGAATGAAGCAAAGAAAACTATACTGTAACCTGTAAAGTTGGTTTTCTATTTAGGTCAATGGTATGTTTTGCTAACACTTTACACTTCGGCACATGGATTATCCTTGTGTGGAGTGTGCAAAGAAACTCTATATAATACGCCACTTGGCTTCTTTTATGAGATGTTACTTTTCCCGAATCACATAAAGAGTTTTTTTGTTTGTTCAAACACGAGGTTTGTGACCACTAAAGACTTGATGTTAACTTGTAAGATCACAGCTGTACGGCCCCAGTCACACAGGCCTAGAGACTGTTTCAAGACCACCCAGCAAACACTGGTCACAAGGGAGAAATGTGGGAAAACACTCCTTGTGATTGCTTTGGTTCGTAGCAGATTGCTGCTCCTGCTTAGCAGAGGTGACAAAAGTGCAGACATTCTCTACTCAAGTAGAAGTACAGATACTACTGTGAAAAGTAAAGTAAAAGTTGAAGTACTGACTCAACTTCTTTACGCCAGTAAAAGTTAAAAAGTACAGGCTCTGAAAAGTACTCAAAGTAACAAAGTAGATCCTTGAAGGACAATTCTACCACATATTTTTATGCCAATCTAACTGAACCTTGTGCTACATTAATGCAATAATAAATAATATTAGTAGATGGGAATACAAATTTTATTTCAATCTAAATTTTATTCTAATAAAAGAATCACGTACAGGCTGTGATCAGCTGATCTGCCGCTCTTTGTGGGTGTACACGTCTGAATTCAACCAGATGTTAGCAGATGTTTTATGAGTCGTCCTGGCTGATTTCCATCCTCTACACTGACAGTCCACTGTTTATGCTGTCTTTATACTTTACACTATACAACCAACTTAACTTCAAGTTCATCTCTGCCCTTTATGTAACCTAACTCTGACCATGAACACCACAGCCACTCTGCACTCTCACACACACTTTAAACCCAGCACAGCACAGCAAACTAACCTATTTATCCTGCAGTAAGCTGTAGAGTATTTTCATGCAACCTTTAAAAAAACACAGTTACTCTGACACAGTTTGTTTTGTTTTGTAAATACTAAAACAAAACAAATGACTGTTTCTATTTTGTTAGACTTTAGATATTAACTGAACAGAATTCACATTCTTGTGTACAAACATCTTCTTCCCAGTAAGTACAGGATAGAGGTCCAGACAATATTCATAAAGAGCAGATGGTGAGCTAAGAAAGGGGACAATAGAATATTTCCTTATGGAGCAGAAAGGATGGTAAGCCAGCAGTCATTCAACATCAAAACATTTGCTAGCAACTTCTCCTGTGTACTGGTGGAATGTATCGAATCAA